GGAAGGCTGAAAATATGTATTCTATAAAAATACCTCTCTCTCATATAGCACTTTTCATCAGTAGAGCTCCAAGCACTTTGTAAAGGAAAGTAGTATCATTAGCCTCGTTTTACAGCGGGGGAATTGGAGGCACAGAGCAGTTCAGTGACTTGCCTAAGCTCACCCCATGATTATGCACCCATTTTGAGTTGACCAGGGGCGGGCGGTGAGTGCAAAATAGGTGTGTGCCCACTTGTTACTATGCAATCAGTGGTGCATTCAAAAATGGTTGTGCAAAATTGGAAGTTGTGCCTAAATTGTATCCTAGTATTACAGCGTATTATAAAACAAAGGAATTCACAGCATTTTGAAGTAAATAGATTTGGCCTAATACCACTGGGATATCTAGTTCCTTAATAGTCTCTTTGTCTTCAGTGGGCCTGCTTCTATTCCATTTACCTCTATCTCCAGTGAAGCAACAGTACAGTGGAAAAATTTATCATAGAAAATAGCCTATTTCACTAACTACTTGTTATCCATAATAAGAAACAAATATCTAGCCAATGTAATGATCTGATTGGCTGAACAGCCATAAATGATTTAGAATTGCGTAACTGATGTTAGAAGCTGATATATCTTTCTCATTTTATATTTCCAAACTCCTTGACTCAAAAATTGCTAGCTCTCTGCTTTAGTTTCTGTGGCATAGACTATAGATGGTTTAAAGTGTTGTATATTAACCATTTCATGCTTTACTGCAAGATGAAAAAAGGCCTTTTCATTGTCTGAAGGTCTGTCTTATGCTTCTGTGAGCAAGAATCAACATTAGAATTGCTGTAATTACCCTTTTGTAGTCTTTTTGCAAAGAATATCATTGTTAACCTAAGCATTTTTGTGCAGATTAAGATCTTAGATAGTATCGTGATGCATTGATTTAAATGCCTTCATTATTTCCTTTACTTAAAAGATCAGACAGGCCTTGACAAAAAGGTTAATTGCAGCCCAGTAGAGCTACACTAATGTTTTCTTAAGGAAAACAAGTCCTGTCTGGATTTTTAGCAGAGCAAAGATCCTAGTAATCATTTCATATTTTCCTGAGACATTTAAACTCTGCATGTTCATATTCTTTTATTAAGTTTGCAGATGATACAAGCTGGGAGGGGTTGCAACTGCTTTGGAGGATAGGGTCATAATTCGAAATGATCTGGACAAACTGGAGAAATGCTCTGAGGTAAATAGAATGAAGTTTAATAAGGACAAATGCAAAGTACTCCAGTTAGGACAGAACAATCAGTTTCATACCTACAGAACGGGAAGTGATTATTTAGGAAGGAGTACTGCAGAAAGGAATCTAGGGGTCATAGTGGACCACAAGCTAAATAGGAGTCAACAGTGTGACACTGTTGCAGAAAAAGCAAACATGATTCTAGGATGCATTAACAGGAGTGTTGTGAGAAATACACGAGAACTCATTCTTCCGCTCTACCCTGTGCTGATTAGGCCTCCATTGGAGTATTGTGTCTAGTTCTGGGCACCGCATTTCAAAAAGGATGTGGAGAAATTGGAGAGGGTCCAGAGAAGAGCAACAAGAACCATTAAAGGTTGAGACAGCACGAGGTGTGAGAGAAATTGAAAGAGCTGGGCTTGTTTAGTTTGGAGAAGGGAAGACAGAGGGATATGATGCAGATCTACTGGAGAGAGTTACCGCAGAACAAAACACATGGTGAAGATACAAATACTTAGCCAATATTCATTAGGAATTATAAAATTAATATAATATGCTAATCTTGTAGCTGCAAAAAATGTGAGCAGTTACATGCGCACGAGCTGTGCAGTATAAAGTTTTGCTTTCTATTACAGAGCCTGCCGTGAAGCCTCTCCGGGGGCGGGACAGCCAGCTCTTGACTGCTCAGCTCCCGGGGAGTGAGCAGGCAGCTCTTGCCTACCCAGCTCCTGGGGAGACTTCGCTGCCCGACCACAGCAAAGCTGCCTCCCTGGGAGCTGGCAGAGGTTAGCCGAGATCATTAACTGATAAGCATCAGCCTCTTGGTTAAATGGTTAATTGAGTAAACTCTAACATCCCTAGTATCATAACTTCAGATACAAAGATGATGCCTGGATTTAATCAGAATAATCATACTTGAAAGATTATAACTTTCCCATTGACACTTTACACAAGATTTGTTGCAATTGTCTATTGGTGGCAATATCAATGATAGACATGGTCATCTTTAATCATACAGACTCATACAGTGCAGGAACCAGAAACCAATTTAAGAAAGAAAACCCTTCTTTTATGGTCAGCTTATTCCCCAAATTGTCATACAGTAAAACTCCAATTGTCCGGCATCCAGTGGTCCGGCACTCTTGATAGTCCAGCAGCAACTGGAACCCGGAAGTGCGCCAGGCAGCAGGACAATTGGAGCTCCTGTGAGACCCCTGCATGCTTACGGGCTGGGAAAGGGAGAGGGGAAGGGAATTATATCCCTGTGACGGGTCTGCTGGGACCACACTGTGTCTGGCCAGGGAGCGGGGGTGGTGGAGAATTGCGCGGCGAGGGGCGAACCCTCCACCATTTTTCAGGGAGGCGGGGGAAGCCCGATGCAGCTGCCTGCTACAGGCCAGCTGGGGCTGCAAGCAGCAGAGGCGGACTTAGGGAAGCGGTGGGGCAGAGCAGCTGGGGTGCTGCCGGGTTGGTCCCGCAGCGCCGCTCAGGTGAGGGGCGGCGCTGCGAGACCAACCTGGTAGCACCCCAGCTGCTCTGCTTAGCTGCTTCCCGAAGTCCGCCACTGCCGCTTGCAGCCCCAGCTGGCCTGTTGCTGGCGGCTACCTGGGGCTTCCCCCGCCTCCCTGCAAAACGGTGGAGGGTTCACTCCTTGCTGCACCATTCCCCGCCAATTTCGAAAATAACTAGCGCTAGTCTGCGTCTACACAGCAGGCAGTTATTTCAAAATGGTGTCAAAATACTGTTAAGCTGGAGGACTTCTTACTCTGACTCCTGTAACCAGCATTGTACGAGGAATAAGGGATGTCAGGAAGAGTGCTCTATTTCAAAATAAGTGCTGTGTAGACGCTCCCTATTTTGTAATAAGCTACTCAGTTGACATAAATCAATTTGTGTAGCTTATTTCGAGTTAATCCCTTCAGTGTAGATGCACCCGTATAGTTATTCAACCCCTCTTTGTATATTTTCCTCAGAGGACTGGCCTAAGCATCCACTCAGCGTGGATACAGAACACGGAATAGATGATTTTTTTTAATTGATGGCTTTGTGAGGTATTTCTCACCAGTTTTCTGATTGTAACACTAGCGGTATTTTAAAATCCAGATTTCTCTTAGATGGAGACCATCAGCAGTTCATCACGTACTGAAGGTGCTGTATGAAAGGGATATAAAAAAAGGGAATGCCTTGCAAGTCCATCATCCACAGAACCGAACAAGAAAAATCCTCATCTAATCACTAGGCAGATTAATGACCTAAACTTCAGGGAACAAAGTAAATCTTGACTCAGTGACCATCTGCCGCTTTAAAGTTCTGTATAGCTGACTAAGCTGAGATAAATCAGACAAATGAAGGAATCCTGGATGGAGTCCAGATATTTGACAGCAGTTTTGGCTTCACTGATGACCTATTCTTGTGACCTCTGGGTTGCAGGGAATGGTTACAAATTAAAGGTTAAATCTTAGCCTTTGTTCACTCCCACTGATGCTAATAGATGTTCCATACAGGGAGAATGGACAGTGGGTACATATAGCTCTATAGTCACACCTGTATGCAGGTGGGTGATCGTACCTCTGAACGGAGTAGCTCTTTTTCTGAAGTTCTGTTTCATGTTTGGACAGTACTGAAGGGAAACTGTGTGATGTGTTGTGGCCTCTAACAATTATGTGAAACATAGGCATTGAGTTGTCATAATTCCACTAATGTGCCCAGCTGCTGTCTGAAATCACTGGTTAGGAAAGATGAAAAGCTCTTCTAACGCTTTTTATTTACTACTTCCTCGTTCCTGCTCCCTGCCAATTCTGTAGAGCAATTAAAAACAAAAGAAAGTGCAAGATTTTTGTGCTACAAATTATTAGCTCATATTCAGAACAGTGAAATGGATTTTGACATTAATAGAGGAGAGTACATGTTCCTAATTGAATATCAACAACTTCTGAAGAGAAAGAACATGCCATGTTGTTGGCAGTTCACAATTAAGGCTTTTCATTGGATAGCTAAACAATAATAGTCCACGGATGTTGTGCATTTTTACACTGCAGATTCAGTGTGGGGTTTCACAAGTAAAGCCCCTTTGACTATCCCACGTGCTTTTGGGCCACTTACCAGAGGACTCCTAACATTCCAGATCCCTGCGAGACTTCACACTGTTGCTATTTAAAAATACAATTCTAGAAATGTTTCCTCCTTCCTTTCCCAAACATCGCACCTGCCCAATGCTCACGTTAAGCAAGATTAAATCTTGTTCCTGCAACTACTTTTCTGTACAGAGAAAGCATCTGTCCCTTTGAAGTCTGGTATTTCACCTCTTGTATGGCTAGAAGTAAGGCTTCTAGTCTACTGCATATGGGGAGATTTCTGGCTTTACAGTGGGATGCAGCATTTGGTGTTGGATCTTTTTTGGAGGGGTGAGAGGCAGGTAAAGGAAGGGTCAACTTTAGGTATCTAGCTCCTGATCCAAAATCCATAAATCATCAGGAGTCTGCCCTTTGGGTTCATTGGGTTTTGGATCAAACCCTTGGTAGAGTTCTCTGGATTACAGACCCAGTACTCAAGACTGGCTTGATGCAATGACTAGTGAAATCAAGATCCAGTGAAAGTAAATGCCAAAGTATGTTAATTTTACACTTGATTATTTTTAACTAGCAGAGGGACCTACAGCATAGGTTGGTATTTTTTTATTTTGTAAGGGATGGGAGTCTAGTGTCTAATGCCGTGGCCCTTCGATCATTCAACACGAATGAGATTTTCATTTGCTCAATCATAATTCAATCCAACTGTTGTCTTCTCTTCCTCACAGGTTGGACAAAGTTTGCTCGATTGACACGAGCTTTGACAAACAGCCGAAGTGTTCTGCAGCAGCTAACGCCAATGAACAAAGCTGAGGTGGTGCACAAACACTCAAGATTAGCAGAAGTAAGTGAGAGACAGATTCCTAATTGTACATGTTTTAAAGACAGGACATGAAGGATAAAAGAAGTGGCATCATTGCTCACTGCATTTTAATATAAAGAGTCGCCTTCCCTGCTCCTGATTTCAAAATACCTCTCTTACAAGAAAGAGCATATTGAACATGAATAACCATTTTTTTCTGGATGGGGCATGACTGGTTCCCATGCAAAAATATACAGACCTCTGTTAACTGCATTGCTCTTTGTTCGTGTTTGTATAACTGTCATTTTGGTGCATTAATCAGGTATTTGCACACCGGAGGGTGCACTATTCCTCCCTCTAGGGTTGCCAGGTGTCTAGTTGTGAACCAGACAGTCCAGTATTTGAGCTTTCTGTTCGGAAACAAATTGAGAAAATATAAATGTCCAGTCTTTTCTAAATAAGATGTAATGTCAAGTGTGTCTGGTATTTTTGTTGAAATTGTCTGGCAACCCTACCTCCCTCAGCATGCAGTTTTGCACTCAAATACAGTCAGATTGTGACACCTTACTGCCACCAAGTAGTAATTTTCTCCTCTAGTGCCAAAGAAATAACTTCTGGACTACTTGAGGATTAAGATACTATCCCATAAGAGTCCCTGTTTGGCCATATAATGATTTGCATGCACAGAATGTGCTCTTGCATTTTGGTTCGTGCAACTGTTGCAACCAGCTTTAAAAGTCTGTCCTGCTGTGTTTTCATCACCTTTCATTCTTTACTAGCTGTAAATTAAATCCGGTGTTAACCAGCACATATACCTTTAGCTGTGCAAATAATGCAGCAGCTGAATGCTCTGAGGTTAACCAATAAAAAACGGTTTGCTGTTCTCTTCTCTGATCCCAGTGGTAAATAGGAGCTGCCAGAATATATGAGCTACTGAAAGTGACAGTCCCAGTCTCTCTGTACCAGAGGGCTTTTGTACTGAGTTCAATGTTAGATTGATGGCAGCATAAAACGTATCCTGCTGCCATCATAATTTTTGCACGCTTTATACTAAAAGTTAGGCTTTAATGAAATCAAAGTTGAATTTTATTTTTATACAGTTCTCCACCATTCTCAGTGCTGGTTTTTTCCACATCCTGTCCTCCACAGGCACTGAGACTGCCTAGATGATATAATGGGTTGCTCCCTTCCCTAGCTTCTCTGTTTCAAAGACTTCTCAGTGCCCTGTGAACCTGAGTAAGCCCAGTAGTTCTGGGCAAGATGTTTGCCATTCCAGATGGGATAGAGCTCACTCAGGGTGGAATCCACTGCCTGTATTTCAATATTAACTGTGTGTGTCATTTGCAGACAAAACCAATCCAGGGAATATTGAGCAGCATGAAGTGGAATGCTCCTTATAATTCATTGTCCTCTATAGGCAAACCTTTTGCTGCCTATATGCTATGTCAAGTGCAGCATGGTGGAATTAAAGACAGCTTTTATATTTATACTATCATTGGTTATGTTTGGATGGGAGCTAAGAAGCGGCTGCAGCATGGCAGGCACAGAGAGAGACCTGGTCTCTGCCCCACTGAGATTATGGTCTAATCTGAAATGAGATGCACCATGTGACAAATGTGTGACTGACGGAGAAGAGAGTACAGGCAGTCCCCGACTTACGCGGATCCGACTTACGAACGGGGCTTTCTCGCCCCGGAGGTCGCAGGTAGCAATCCACCACCTCGCCCTCCGGGGCGACAAAGCCCCGTTCGTAAGCTGCTCCGGTGCCTGTGGTCTGCTGGGGACGGTCCCCAGCAGACCACAGGCACCGGAGCAGCTTACGAACGGGGCTTTCTCGCCCCGGAGGTCGCAGGTAGCAATCCACCACCTCGCCCTCCGGGGCGACAAAGCCCCGTTCGTAAGCTGCTCCGGTGCCTGTGGTCTGCTGGGGACGGTCCCCAGCAGACCACAGGCACCGGAGCAGCTTACGAACGGGGCTTTCTCGCCCCGGAGGTCGCAGGTAGCAATCCACCACCTCGCCCTCCGGGGCGACAAAGCCCCGTTCGTAAGCTGCTCCGGTGCCTGTGGTCTGCTGGGGACGGTCCCCAGCAGACCACAGGCACCGGAGCAGCTTACGAACGGGGCTTTCTCGCCCCGGAGGTCGCAGGTAGCAATCCACCACCTCGCCCTCCGGGGCGACAAAGCCCCGTTCGTAAGCTGCTCCGGTGCCTGTGGTCTGCTGGGGACGGTCCCCAGCAGACCACAGGCACCGGAGCAGCTTACGAACGGGGCTTTCTCGCCCCGGAGGTCGCAGGTAGCAATCCACCACCTCGCCCTCCGGGGCGACAAAGCCCCGTTCGTAAGCTGCTCCGGTGCCTGTGGTCTGCTGGGGACGGTCCCCAGCAGACCACAGGCACCGGAGCAGCTTACGAACGGGGCTTTCTCGCCCCGGAGGTCGCAGGTAGCAATCCACCACCTCGCCCTCCGGGGCGACAAAGCCCCGTTCGTAAGCTGCTCCGGTGCCTGTGGTCTGCTGGGGACGGTCCCCAGCAGACCACAGGCACCGGAGCAGCTTACGAACGGGGCTTTCTCGCCCCGGAGGTCGCAGGTAGCAATCCACCACCTCGCCCTCCGGGGCGACAAAGCCCCGTTCGTAAGTCGGATCCGCGTAAGTCGGGGACTGCCTGTAATGCCAATTCACACAGTTACATTCTTAGCAGTTGCACAGCATGTAACTTGCAAGCGTTGTGTGTTTTTTGTTTTGTTTTGTTTTTAGTTTGTAACAGGATGGCTGTCCCCTGAAGAGCTAGAATAGAGACCTGGGGCCGGCCAGCCCTAGTTACTAAGAAGGCATCTGAGCAGAGATCAGCTGCTACCCTATAAAGAGCAGATACAGAGAGTGGGAGATTCAGGGGGACGAGAGTAAAGTACAGAGGCTGCTGGGAGTGAGTAGTAGAGGAACCGGGCCCTAGGGAGTGAGGCTACAGGCTGGCCAAATGACGAGTGAAGGGACTTAAGGGCAGACTGGACAATTTTATTCCAAATACTTTAATAAAATAACAGCACTGTCCACTGTTGGCCCTGAGTGAAAGGCTTGCTTGGTTGGGTCCACTGAGGTTTGCCATTGACTTCTATGCAGACAGTTTTCACACCCCAATTTTAGTAACACCCTTTTCCTGGAAAGACCAATTAAAACCACTAATTAACTGGAAATTTGTAATTGCAATACTTATATATTTCAACACATTCACTTCAATATTGTTGTGTTTATTTCAGACCCATTCACTCCCTTTTCATCAAGAGTACATTCTAGATTTGAACTTTCAGTATGGCAGTTCTGTTTGCCATGTAGCGGCCATGGCTAATATGGTGCGTTACTTCCTGGAAGTGGCACTGTAGGTGATATGATAGTACAGTCAGTTCTTGGAGACTGAATCGAATGCATTTATTTTATGCTAATGCCCATTTGGAATCCTAAATCTGATTTTGGTTCCAGAATCATAGAATCCTAGAAAACTAGGACTGGAAGGGACCTCGAGAGGTCATCGAGTTCAGTCCCCTGCCCACATGGCAGGACCCAGTACTGTCTAGACCATCCCTGTCAAGTATCAGAGGGGTAGCCGTGTTAGTCTGAATCTGCAAAAGCGACGAGGAGTCATGTGGCACCTTATAGACTAACTGAAGTGTAGACCATCCCTGACAGACATTTATCTAACCTACTCTTAAATAGCTCCAGAGATGGAGATTCCTCAGCCACCCTAGGCAATTTATTCCAGTGTTTAACCACCCTGACAGTTAGGAACTTTTTCCTAATGTCTAAACTAAACCTCCCTTGCTGCAGTTTAAGCCCATTGCTTCTTGTTCTATCCTTAGAGGCCAAGATGAACAAGTTTTTCTCCCTCCTCCTTGTGACACCCTTTTAGATACTTGAAAACAGCTATCATGTCCCCTCTCAATCTTCTCTTTTCCAAACTAAACAAGCCCAGTTCTTTGTCTTCCTTCATAGGTCATGTTCTCTAGACCTTTAATCATTCTTGTTTCTCTTCTCTGGACCGTCTCCAATTTCTCCACATCTTTCTTGAAATGTGGCGCCCAGAACTGGACACAGTACTCCAACTGAGGCCTAACCAGTGCAGAGTAGAGCAGAAGAATGATTTCGCGTGTATTTCTCACAACACACCTGTTAATGCATCCTAGAATCATGTTGGCTTTTTTTTTTGCAACAGCGTCACACTGTTGACTCATATTTAGCTTGTGGTCCACTATAACCCCTAGATCCCTTTCTGCTGTACTCCTTCCTAGACAGTCGCTTCCCATTCTGTATGTGTGAAACTGATTGTTCCTTCCTAAGTGGAGCACTCTGCATTTGTCCTTCTTAAACTTCATCCTGTTTACCTCAACCATTTCTCCAATTTGTCCAGATCCTTTTGAATTATGATCTTATCCTCCAAAGCAGTTGCAACCCCTCCCAGATTGGTATCATGTGCAAACTTAATAAGCATACTCTGTATGGTGATAGCTAAATCGCTGATGAAGATATTGAACAGAACCTGTCCCAGAACAGACCTCTGCGGAACCCCACTTGTTACTCCTTTCCAGCAGGATTGTGAATCATTAACAACTACTCTCTGGGAATGGTTATCCAGCCAGTTATGCACTCACCTTATGGTAGTCCTATCTAAGTTGTATTTGCCTAGTTTTTTGATAAGAATATCATGCGAGACCATATCAAATGCCTTACTAAAGTCTAGGTATATCACGTCCACCGCTTCTCCCTTATTCACAAGACTCGTTATCCTATCAAAGAAAGCAATCAGATTGGTTTAACATGATTTGTTCTTTACAAATCCATGCTGGCTGTTCCCTATCACCTTATTATCTTCCAAGTGTTTGCAGATGATTTCCTTAATTACTTGCTCCATTATCTTTCCTGGCACAGAAGGTAAACTGACTGGTCTGTAGTTTTCTGGGTTGTTCTTATTTCCCTTTTTATAAATGGGCACTATATTTGCCCCTTTCCAGTCCTCTGGAATCTCTCTTATCTCCCATGATTTTCCAAAGATGATAGCTAGAAGCTCAGATATCTCCTCTATCAGCTCCTTGAGTATTCTAGGATGCATTTCATCAGGCCGGTGACTTGCAGACATCTAACTTTTCTAAGTGATTTTTACCTTGTTCTTTTTTTATTTTATCTTCTAAACCTACCCTCTTCCCACTAGCATTCACTGTGTCAGGCATTCCTTCATCAGTGAAGACCAAAACAAAGAAATCCATAAGCATCTTTGCCATTTCCAAGTTTCCTGTTACTGTTTCCCCCTCCTCACTGAGCAATGGGCCTACCCCTGTCCTTGATCTTCCTCTTCCTTCTAATATATTTATAGAATGTCTTCTTGTTTCCCTTTATACCTGTAGCTAGTTTGAGCTCGTTTTGTGCCTTTGCCTTTCTAATCTTGCCCCTGAATTCCTGTATTGTTTGCTTATATTCATCCTTTGTAAATTGTCCTAGTTTCCATTTTGTATATGACTCCTTTTTTAATTTTAGATCATGCAAGATTTTCTGGTTGATCCAAGGCGGCCTTTTGCCCTGTTTTCTATCTTTCCTATGCAGCGGAATAGCTTGCTTTTGAGCCCTTAACGATGTCCCTTTGAAAAACTTCCCCTCAGTATTGCTTCCTCTGGGACCTTACCTACCAGCTCTCTGAGCTTACCAAAATCTGCCTTCCTGAAATCCATTGTCTCTAAGTCTTTCATTTGGTAGCTTGATAAGTTTGTAAACTAGGGTAATCACTGTTTGCTGCTTCCCACTTTAATTTCTCATAGTGGACCAAGATAAGTGATAATTAGACAAGCTAGAATAAATTGTTTTGGCTCCTTTATAAAGTTTGCCGTTCTATATTTTACAACGATGAGTGTGCAGAAAATAATGGGAAAACGCAAATGTTCAAAATAGTATTGAGTTTATAAATATGTCCTGGATTCATTACTGATCAATAATTTCATTCGTGAGTTGGATATGAGAATCTGCAAATGAGAAATAATATTAAGTCATTATAAATATTGACTTTTAATGGCAACAGTGTTTTATGCTGTCTGGAGAGAACGGTGAGGAAGCATAAATTGCAATTGTATGAATAGATAGGATTATAATCAGACCAGAAGTCATGAATGTAGTATAAATGGAACCTCTCTAGTCCGGCACTCTCTGGTCTGGCACCATCCATGGTCTGGCTTGATTTCAGTTAGCCAGATGTCCACTTATAATTGCCAAATTTCCCACAGTCCTATAAAGTTTGTTTATAGCCAACAGTCCTGGCTCTTAGTGTTCTGTGCTGTTGTTTAGCTTTAGTTTACTTCTACATATCTCTTAAGTACCCAGTAAGCAGTGGAAGTGTTGATAACACTGCTAGACAACATTGATTGTCTCCCATGGTTCAGCAAATTCTCTGGTTTGGCACTGGTCAGGTCCACAGGGTGACGGACTAGAGAGATTCAACCTGTATTTTCCTTTAAAAGTCGGCTAATGATTGTGGATTGTTGGATAGGATAATATGTTGGTTACTTTTTAGATTCAGAGAGAGTCTCGGCATAAATGCTAAGCTTTCCAGCACCTGCAGATCTGAATGAGAGCCCATATTGTTAAATGCACGGCATGAGCTGGCACAGCTGTATCCAGATGGGCCTTGTGCCAGTTACTTGTCAAAGTACTTTACTTTGAATTTCTCAGCAGCAATTGTTGGCATAATTTTCCCTCCATCCATCTGCAAATGATCCCCATTTTTGTAAGATTATCCTTACGCTTTAACTTTTCCCATTCACAGGCCAAAGTTCCGAATGAGGATATGCAAATTCCATAGGAATTTCCATATCTTCTTCTGATCTCACTTTCGAAAGCAGAGCTTTCATAAGTGAAAGTAGTCAGGACACATTTTTTTTTTTCGGCATTCTTCCCCCCCTCCCTTTTTCGAAAAGTCACGTAAACCTCCGTGGGAATTTGCATATCCTCTTTCGGAACTTCGGCGTAGTCTAGACATAGCCTCTGAGTGATAGTTACCTCCATGTATGCCTACATGATTCATGCACTGATGAGCTCATATTAAAGAATTTAGAAACTATGGGTAGCCTTGGAACCTTCTGGGAATAATGAAAATATTCTCTCCTTAATTCTGTATATTACACAAATTCATAAAGTGCCCATTAGAATTGTTAACTGAAAGCCACAACATCTGTGTTTCTTTCTTTTCTAGGTTCTCCAACTCGGCTCAGATATTCTTCCTCAGTATAAACAAGAAGCCCCAAAGACTCCTCCGCACATTATTTTACACTATTGTGCTTTTAAGACCACCTGGGACTGGGTCATCTTAATTCTAACCTTCTACACAGCAATTATGGTTCCCTACAATGTCTCCTTCAAAACAAAACAGAACAACATAGCCTGGTTGGTGCTGGACAGTGTGGTGGACGTTATTTTTCTGGTTGACATTGTTTTAAACTTTCATACGACCTTTGTTGGCCCTGGTGGAGAGGTTATATCTGATCCCAAACTCATAAGGATGAACTACCTGAAAACTTGGTTTGTGATAGACCTTCTGTCCTGTTTACCTTATGACATCATCAATGCCTTTGAGAATGTCGATGAGGTAAGCAATTTCAGTCCGCATAAAATTGACTGCTCTAGGTTATTTCTAATTGTGAATTCATGTAGGGCCGCATTTATTCTCACTATAGTGAATAATATTACTCTGTGCAATAGTTGGAGGATGGATTTTGGTTATGGAGCTTTTCGATGAACAGTTTTATCTTATCTGGGAAGAGAGAGTGTCTTGCTAAGCAATAAAGGGGTATGTCTAGACTACATGGCTCCATCGACGGAGCCATGTAGATGAGTTTACTAGACATAGGAAAATGAAGCGGTGATTTAAATAATCCCCGCTTCATTTACATAAAAATGGCCGCTGCGCTGTGCCGATCCGCTGTTTTGGTGGCACAGTGGGGCAGTCTGGACGTGCTGCAGTTGACAAGGGAAGCCTTCACGAGGCATACCGGAGCGGTTGAGAAAGGCTTCCCTTGTCGACTGCGGCACGTCCAGACTAGCCCGTTGTGCCACCAAAGAGCTGATCAGCACAGCGCAGCGGCCATTTTTATGTAAATGAAGCGGGGATTATTTAAATCACCGCTTCATTTTCCTATGTCTAGTAAACTCATCTACATAGCTCCGTCGATGGAGCCAGGTAGTCTAGACATACCCAAAGAGAATATCAGAGGTGCACTTGATTTATAAAGTTTCAGGGCACGATTTTAAAAATTGTTCACTGTTGACCTAAGTCTTCTTCCACTAAAGCCAATGGCTAAGCTCCCAGTGATTTCAATGGGTATGTCCACACTACAGAGAAGATCGAAGCTGCCGCTTTTGATCTTCCAAGGTTCGAATTAGCAGGTCTAGTGAAGACATGCTAATTCGAACTGAGACGGGCACTCCGGTCAATACTGGAAGTCCTGCTTCCACGAGGAGTAAGGGAAGTCGAAGGGAGAGTGTTTTCCTTTCGACTTCCTGCAGTGAAGATAGCGCCAAAAGTTGAGCTAAAGTACTTTGACTTCAGCTATGCAATTAACGTAGCTGAAGTTGTGTATCTTAATTCAACTTTATCCTGTAGTGTAGACATACCCAATGAGAGCACAAAATGCTGCCTTTGAGTGTTTTTGAAGATCCTGGCCATAATTGCTGTTTACACCCTGCTGCTTTTTCTTTCCTCCTTGCAAATTCTTTTTAAATTTATGTTTTTAGAGATGAACCCTTCTAGTGTCCATATTATTTGCTTGATAAAAGGCTTAATTAGAGCCATATCTTGAAATTTTAGAGATTGCACAAGAAAAAAGTGCAAATCTTAAAGGCCACTGAATTAAAGCTTCTTAACTTTTAGCCCTTAATAACATTTTAAAAAATCAAGCTTGCAGGCTAAGATAATGGAGAAACAAGCAATAACTGCAATTAATAATGCATGCATGAATCATTGTAGACAAAAATCATTATTAAATTGCACCCGTAATGGTATCAGAACTCATTTTAATTTCCCTTTGGGGCCCCATATCCTTAGGATGTTAAACAGATGAAAAACCCTTTGTTCATTTTTTATTGTTTGAACAAGTGATTTTTTTATTCCTCATGAATTCTTATCACTGCAGTTATGTAGTCTCACGTTAAAAAAATCCATACCCCTATTTCTTAATGCAGGTTTTTTGGTACAGATTTTGTGAAGCTCTTTTTAAATGCCACCCCTGCCTCTTTGCTTACTATAATCATTTGACATTGTTCCATTTTATTTATAGCAAACGCGACAAGTGATAAACCTTGCAGTTTAAACCTTTAAGTTCGCATAAGGGCTGCCAATCTAGAATCAAGTTATGTAGACAGTCCATGGGAGAAGCTGCTCCTAACAAGGTTGTTAATGTATCCTAGCTTATAACATAGTCCGAAATAATCCATTCTATTTTAATAAGAACCTGATTTTACAAAAACATTACATGTTTTCAGGTTTGAGTGTCTGAAAGTTGAAAACAAGTAGGACCTGCATTACTGCACATAAACTATATGCAGTTTCATTGTGTGCTAACCATTTTTCTAGTATGTCATGGCTAATTACACACTTGCAATATTTGTAAAAGGGTACAAGAAATTTCTCTTTCTCTCTCGGCATCATTTTGGGGACATGGCTTGACAATGAAGGATGACCCAAAGGCGGGATTAATCCCAAGTGCAGGCAAAACTACGTAGTCATATAAAAGCTCTTCAACTTGCAACTTGAGCCTTCATTCTGCTCAAGTCCCACAGTAAGAAGGGAGGAAACTCCTTGCCGCCTTTTCCTCTTATTTTTGGATCCCTACAGATCACGTGTCCAACCTCTTGTTCTCCCCACATTGCTCATCAGATGCATCTGGCCATTTCTGTGAGGATGAAGATGGGTGGTAGAGTGGTAGGAAAGGAGGAGACAAACCATGTTGTAGCTTTTCCTCTCTGTAAGGCCCTACAGTGCAGCATCAATGGGGGTAGAAGGAAAGGGTGGGAGGTTTAGAAGTATGGATTTCTGGTGCCTCTAGTTCTGCGCGCACAATGCACATGCATCTTAGCCCAGAGAAAACAAAATGTAGAATACTAAGGTCCCCACAGTTCACTTTTAGATATACATTCTCTACCCTTATATGTAATACTAGAAGATTTACCTGGCGTTGCCCAGGTCCGTAATTCAGGAATTCCATTGAGTGTATGTCATTTTTGCATCCCTATAAATTCTTATTCACTATGTTTTAACAAAAAGGGCTGTAGTGAATTAGATTTCAAATAACATTTTCTTCTAGTTTTCAAAACTTTAGCATTGATTTAGCTGTGCTAAAACAGAGCATTACTCCACATTTCTCCATTTTCTCTCTTTTCTGTAAAGTTTATTGAGAAGCAATCCTATTCCAGGTTCACCCTGTTTTTCTACTCATCTTGCTTCAGTCTCTTTCAACATTCACTCAGCTATGTCAGTTTTGAGGCTCGTAGTTGCTTTGGTGATCCTGTCTTGTTTCTGTTTGGTTTTATGCGGGTACAACCAAACCCTTATGTTGCTTTTAGTTATAAGAGGAAGCTGTCTACTGAATTTGGTGGTCCTACTTCTTACCATTTAGCAGGAGTTCTTGAACAAACAGACACACTCACATATATAGTAGATTACTGCTGCTTGGAAAGAAATAGGAAGGATATGCCAAGAAACCTGAAATGTGAAAGTGCATGGAAAGAGAACACTGGGGTGGCATCCTCAAAAGCAGGGAACGTTGGCCAGATGGGTCATTTTACTTTTGATTTTACTGGGAACAGTTAAGCCAGTGCTGATCACTTTTTAGAATTCATCTGTAGGTGTATATGACTGTAAATCTATGCCCTTTTATTGCTCTGTGGAGGTAGTCACAGCAGCAAAATGTGGAGGAAAATAATTGTAACACTAAGATCTAGGAAGGGAGGATTAGGACAATTTCATGCAGATGAAGTGGTGTAGGTTTATGTGGTAAAAAGTTAGAGGCATCTTATGATGCATTTAAGAGGATTTGGATAATCTGACAGATAGGAAGAAAGGTAGGATAATGAGAGAGAGGGAGAACCACGCAGTGAAAGCAATCTAAATTGTCACGGTAGATGGAGAATTATGGTTTTTAAGTAGTATTAGGGGGATAGGAAAACATGGTAAAATAGGTTAGCAAAAAGAAAAATACTTGAAGAAAGAAATTGGTAGATCACTTGCCAAAATGAGTGTGATAACAGAGGCCTAGAAATCGAAACAATCCCAGATGTCCTCATTAATTGGAAAATATTAGCTGCACTGCTAGTGCTAGTCGATTCAAAACAAAAGGCTAAATTGTTCAGACTTGGAAACATAAGCATAAGCACCATAACCCAGGTCTGAAGAGATGGGTTCACAGCTCTGAAAATCAGACCACCTCGTTAACTGTTAAAATAAAAAGGAAGGTGTCTAAAAGTTTGAAGATTTGGGACTAACCTTTGTATAAAAAAAAAGGCTTAAAGCTTGAATCCAAAGTTTTTACCCATTTCAAGCTCCTGTTGACTGCACGGATATTTATAAATATGTAAGGTCTGGGACAGCAGCAGCAACAGTAATATGCTTAGGCAGGGGAAGTCTACAGCACTGGGTGACCACACTGTAAGGCTTTATTCCTGATATCTAAGGGTGTGTCCATACTGCACCGTAATTTTGAAATAATGTCGAAATAATGGGCAGCTTAGTCCGACTTCTGTAAACCTCATTCCATGAGGAATAACTCTTCTTCCAAAATATCTATTTTGAAATAGCTGCAGTGTGGATGCTCCACTGTTGCTATTTTGAAATATCTCCTCACCACGACCATTCTAAGTAATTCCTCCCCAGTGCCTCCTGGGGGCTCTAAATCAATATAGCGCATCCACATTAGGGGAACCTGCCTAGGACTAATTTGGAGGCTTCCCTGCAGTGTGGACTCTCTATTTTGAAATAAGCTATTTTGGAATATATCTTCCCGAATAGCTTATTCTGAAATAAGCGTGTGGTGTAGATGTACCCTAAGTGTGCCACAGGGTTATTACTGATCTGGTGCAGCTGTGATTGAGCAGTGTGTCTGCTCCTGAACTCAGATCTGATTTTTCAGCACTTTGTGTGTGGGGACTTTGACATGAGTCAAAAGGGCAACAAGAATACCTCCCTAGATCCTGATAACGTCAAACCATCTTCTATCTAGCAGTCATATGAAATACCTCCAGTCTCCTAATGTATTGCTAAAGCAACAGCCGTTCAGATCCATATTTAAGGATTTGAAATGCGCAAATTGGGTAAATCCTCACGTTTGCCATAACTTCTTCTTTGGGCTTCAGACCTTTTGAAGGCCTTTTTGGGGGAAGGTGCTTAAACCAATGCTCCTTAGAATATCTGGTTGGCTGCACCTGTTTGATAGCTTACTGCTTAAATAGGTGAAGTCATCCACTACTTCCATGGTTTGGTCAGAAGCAGAGATGTCTTGTATCACAAATGTGTGCTGACTCTCCGGGTTTTTTTCCCCCAAGAATCACTTAGCCTAAGATAGGTACTGCAAGTTTGCTAATTACAGAGCTGCACAG